CTACGGATGAGTGTGGAGTCAGTCATTACAAGAGAGCCACCGATAGGATAATCGGCGGCAGAGACGCCAAGAAGGGAGAGTTCCCGTGGATGATATCGGTTCAGGTGAAACACCCGCACTCACCCGGATTTGTGGTCACCTGCGGGGCCGCTATTATCAACACTCATTGGGTGCTAACCGCTGCCCATTGTCTTGAAAAGTATGCCCACAAATACCACACACTTTGCAATCAATTTTAACTCACATTTAAATACTAGTGTAGACAAGAATGACCTCCAGATAGTGGCCGGCGCTCACGATATCAAAGACTGGACCGAAGGTATGAGCAAACATACGGTGAACAAAATAATATCCCACCATGATTATAACAAACATGACTTTGGTGTCAACGATATCGCGTTGATTAAAGTGAACCAAGAGTTTCGCTTCAATGCCTCAAAATGGCTGCAAAACAGTGTCTGTTTGCCCGCAGAGGACTATAACGCGAGGGGCCGGTCGGCCACCGCCACCGGTTGGGGCGCCGCCGCTCATTACAGACCACCCGCTAGAATACTGAAGGCGATCGATATGCCGGTCCTCAACCAAGACGAGTGCCGACTTAAACACATTGATTACGTGTTCCTTAAAGATACCCAGATTTGCTGCGGCGGTCAACTCGATAGGGATACTTGCTTTGTATGTATTGTTGTCCTTAACATTTAGATCAAGTATTACTTTATGCAAACAAATTGTAATTATAGGGAGACTCCGGCGGACCTGTCATTGAAATGGTGGACAATAGGGCAGTATTGGTGGGCATTACTGTTGGCTCACCTCAGAAGGAAGACTGTGGTGTCGAGAGTTGGCCCGGCATTTATACCGATGTCACCAAATATATTAAGTGGATTAATGATAACATGAAAGGGTGACAAACAATGATGATCAATTATCTACAAATTGCCACTTTATTAATATGTAAAAAATTTCTAATAAATTACAAATACTTTATTCAAATGATTGAAATCTAAAAACTAAAATACTTTATAATAAATTAACCAAAAATTGTCTTAAAAATGTGTTTACAATTTATAAATATAAAAAATTAATTAAAATGAAAGCAAACAAACTGACGGTTGACTGACTATAACGTTTGATTCAGGAATTAATGTACGTTTTTGAGGCAAATTTTTTGTAATATAGCAAACATTGTAAACACTTAACGGTAATATTAACATTAAAAACACAATTAAATTATGAGTTAAATGGTAAAATAAATAAAATATAAATATACTGTTATAATGAAAATTTGTGGTTCAATGTGTTTGCGATGTAAATAGAAATCAATTAAATAAATATTAGTTAAATATTTATACATAGGCTATAAAAATAGTCTCAAATATTTCTAAATACGGTACAAATTAATCGATTAAAACATACAATTCATTGAGTATTTTGTTATCGCATAGGAATGCATACAAAATAAGTTCATTTAAAATCAATATATATTTCTATTTAATAGTATTTGGCAACGGATTTGATTCATATATCTATACGCAATGTTTTACTACAAGAAAAACATGGCCTCAACTAAACACACATCAACTCCCAAATCCAACACACGTTATATCCAACACATTATATTGCAATTAATACCCAATTGTTAGCAATTAGGTCCTAATGGGTATTATATGCCCCTCAGTATTGATCACATACTTGTCCAACAGTTGACTAACAATCTGTTTGTCGTCACAAAACAATAGATATAAATATTTAAGAGTCTC